GTCTTACAAACCTCCACGGATGCAGCTGCCGCCCGCTCTGCGTCCCGCGCTGCCGCGCCTGCACCCCACGGCCTGGGCTGGGCAGGGCTGGCCCCCTTCCTACGGCCGCGTGCGGGGGGTGTCCCCCTGTCCCCGCACCGCGGCTCCGCGTCCTGGCCTCTGCCAGCCCTGGACCGGTCTACACATCCATTCATGCGCTTTTGCTTTTGCTATTGCTAATACACAGTTAATTGAGTACCTCCATTATGAGGTACTAGGAAAAGGTGCATTCGCTTATTTTACTGCGCATCAGCACCGAGTTTTTTTTGGTGATGTTTTAATTCACGTTAAAACAAGCTAATGCACAGTCAAGCCGGCATGTAGATGCGCCCACTGGGAACAGCAGTGTCCAGGCTTAGGAACAAGGGCAGCGGGAATGAAACGGGAAGCACTCAGAGGGGGCTTATCCCGTCGTAGTGAGCTTTAACGTGCCAATGCTTGCTTTTTAGGTGCTCTTAGCATGGTCTAAGTGTGACGTCTAACATCATTGTAGGTCTTTTCCTTAAACCACATCAGTAAAGTTATCAGAGTCCAGGATCCCTGTGTCGGATCTTTTATTGGAGCCACTGCCTAGTTAGGATAGTTAGAGAAGTTTACCAGTGCGAGGCATTCTTCATGCAAGGCTGCTGTGGTTCCCCTGCTTTACCTGTGGCAGGTGAAGGTGTTAGGTCCGTGTTGTGTGGGGGGCGCCAGTAGTCTTACGCAGAGTTTCGATGGATTCTATAGGATGGGGGTTGGACTGGGTGGCCTCTGGAGGTGCCTTCCAGCCTGACTTCTCTACTATTCTGCGATCTGATCAGCGCAAGCCAGGCACAGCACAGTAAAGAACAGGAGCCGGAAGAGGTGAGAGAAATCCCCAAGTGTAATAGACACACAATTAGCAGTAGGAAAGCTGGTTACTGGGTGACCAAGGCCTATAAAAAGCAAGGAGGGTCATTTTCGCCCATGGGCGGATCTAGATTTTGAAAAGGGGGGTGGTGGAGATGGGGAGGTGCATCATCCCTGGTTAGGCTCAGTTAGGTGATGATCACCTATAAAACAACACCTATTATTTTCCACTTATAAATAAACTAGAAGCTTTAGTCCTATGCAAGGGCCTAGGGCTATATTATTCATTTAAGATTGAAACAAAAACAAAGAACATTATTGGAATAAGTTAAAAACAATGTGCAAGGATGTGAACTCAGAGCTTGATTACCAGATAATAGACAGCAGAATGGCAGAACAAAAGTTAGCTTGGTTGGCAGAATATCAAGACCATTAAAAAAGAGTGTCATTAACACCTGTGCAATGAAGAGTTTAGAAGGGATCAGGTGGATTATAATGAGCCATAAAGTCAAGTGACTCCCTCAGCACTGCCTGACTAGAAGTGCTGTTGCCACTGCCAGGCAGTTGGTTTTAAAC